GTACTTCACCCATCTTCTACTTGATGATGTTCCGGTTCATTCTTGAGTGCTTCTATAGCCACATGCATGTGATTGGTATAGTCTCACTTGTATGATGTTCCAGTTCAATCTTGATTGCTTCCATGGCTCCATGTATGTACTTGATTTAGTCTCACTTGTGTTTTTCACTCATCTTCATTTGGTAATGTCCCGGCTCATTCTCGGTTGCTTCCATAGCTCTATGTATCACTTGAATGTTTCACTCGTCTTGCACATGATGATGTCTCGATTCAATCTTGTTTGCTTCCATAGCTCCATGTATGTGCTTGAATCAAGTCTCACTTGTGTATTTCAATCATCTTTCACTTGGTGATGTTTCGGCTAATTTTTTGGTTACTTCATTAATCACATGTATGAACCTTGTCAAGTTTCCTTGTGTGATGGCAATCCCCTCACTTAATGATGTCCCGACTTACTCGTGGATGCTCAAACTGTCACATATGCTAGATAAAGCATTATGTTTGTAACATCTCTCTTCCCCTGTGCTCTAATTGAATTTCGCCCCCCCGTACTCTAATCGAACGAGGTAAGGGGAGAGGTAGGTAGGAGACAGTTGCTGCTGGTAAAATTGAGTTTGTTGTTGTGCTGCTGATGCCTCGCCCAACGCCTGGCTGTTGCTGCTGCTGAGAAACCGTTGGCCGGTTCCTCAGAGCAAAGGTTGGTCCGAAGGGACTAACAGGTCAGCGTGACCCGGGGGCACCGGTAGCCAATTTTGCCAAAATAGGGGTATGGGGCCTGAGACTTCACAGACCCCATATCATAAGCATAGATAGATGGCCTGCAAAACCTTCAGGCCATCTCAGTCCATTTTCCTGCGAAAACGGAAAATGAACTTCCTCGAACTGTTCACCGGAGCCTCGGGTGATGCCCAAAACAGGTAACTAGGGGCAAACGGCGACGGAATCCGGTCAAACTTTATGGGGGTCTTCCATAGGGTATAGACAGAGGGCCCACTGAGTTACGAGGCATTCTGGCGTCGTTTAGGGTAGGAAACGCAAGTCTATGTTTTTTGGCTCTCCCGCCTCTAGGAGAATCGACAAAAATGAAAATCTGCAAAATCTGAGTTTTTCGGCAACCTGTGTATTTTGCAAATCTGTGTTTTCTGCAAAATTGTGTATCTGTTGCAAGTCTGTTTCATGAAAGTCTGAGTTTTATGAAGATTTGGACCTCGAGATAACTCTAGGAAAACGAGACTGACACTTAGGGATAGACAGCGGCACCGGACCACCTCACATATCCTCGTTCCTCCATCTTCTTCACCCATCCACCATAGCCAGACACCTTCTTCCACCTTCGTCTCCTTCACCCATACACCATAGCCAAGCACCTCCACTCCTTCTTCCACCTCCATCTCCTCCACCCATCCACCATACCCAAGCACCTTCTTCCACCTTACCCATCCACCATAGCCCAACACCTTCACTCCTTCTTCCACCTCCATCTTCCTCACGCATCCACCACAGCCAAGCACCCACTCCTACCTACATCTCCCTCACCCGTCCTCCATAGCCAAACACCTTCACTCCTTCTTCCACCTCCATCTTCCTCACCCATCCACCATAGTTAGACACCCTCTTCCACCTCCATCTCCTTCACCCATCCACCATAGCCAAGCACCTTCTCCTACCTCCATCTCCCTCACCCATCCTCCATAGCCAAACACCTTCTTTTTTTTCCACCTCCATCTTCCTCACCCATCCACCATAGCCAAACACCTTCTTCTACCTCTATCTCCCTCACCCATCCTCCATAGCCAAGCATCTTACTCCTTCCACCTCCATCTTCTTCACCCATCCACCATAGTCAAACACCTTCACTCCTTCCAGCTCCATCTCCTTCACTCATCCACCATAGCCAAGCACCTTCTTCCACCTCCATTTTTTTCACCCATCCTCCATAACCATGCACCTTCTTCCACCTCCATCTCCTTCACCCATCCTCCATAGCCGAGCACCTTCTTCTACGTTCATCTCCTTCACCCATCCACCGTAGCCAAACACCCTCACCCCTTCTTTCACCTCCATCTTCCTCACCCATCCACCATAGCCAAGCACCTTCTTCCTTCTTCCGCCTCCATCTTCTTCGTTCATCCTCCATAGTCATGCACCTTCTTTCGCCCCCTCGATCATCAATCAATGTTGTGGGCCCAGGTATATAGGGCAACAAGGCGTAGAAGAGGTCATAAGTAGGACGGTAGGACAAGTAGGGGATGAGTGGGGTCAGGCCTAGGGGGCTCTCTCTTTCTTTCTCTCTCTCTCTCTCTCTCTCTCTCTCCTCCCCCTTCTTAGCTCCAAAGACTCTCCCTCCGCTTCCAAATCTCAAAGTCAACCCTCACCCTCTCTCCCCTTTTTCTTTTTGGCATGCAACTAACCCTTCCCTCACTCACTTGTTACATTACCAGGGGACGAATGGTGAAAGAAAGCTGATCTCACTTGGGGGAGAAAGAGGGTAAGGGGAGGGTTGTCGGTCCCTTGTGCCACCAAGGAGGAAAAGGAAAACACTTGAGGATCTGAGAGGGCTGTGAGCGCAAAGCACTAGAGAAATTGGAAGTGGACTAGTCCAAAGAGGACTAAGAGAGAGTTGTTGATTCAAAGCAAGGTCATTTGACTTAACCAGAACCTCGACTGCATGACTAAGAGAAGAGGATGGTGTGGATGAGTAAAGGAAGAGGAAAGAGAGGGAACCCAAGGACAAGGAAAGGAACTAACCATGCAAGAGGGGCTATGTGTTGACCGCGAATGGGGTTGTATGTGCTTTGGATTGTAATGTGTGTGCAAGTGAGTAGCCTTGAGATGTCTTGAGTTGGACTAGCCTGGAGTATGTCGGCCTGCAAAAAGGGAAAGGAAGGACAAATGCTAAGCGGTTGCGAATGTAACCTAAGCCTATGAGTTCGACCCTTTGAGCATGTTGCGCTGAAGTATGAATGTAAGAGGAAAGAGATGGCATGTATGGTCAAATTTTACTAAAATATTTGGCGGTCGAAATGACTGCTAAGTCCTTTGAATATGCGGGCGGGAACCCCGAAAAGACTAAGGGGTTCTTAGGATAAGCAATGAATGAGATGCATGATGGACGAAGACAATGAATGCTAGGGGCGTAGGCTGGCTAAGAGGAGGAGCGACGTCTTTGCACCTCAATGAAGCCCAAGGACCATTGCGTTAGGAAAAGGATGTGTGGCCTAAGGATGACCCTTAACTTGCGCATAATGGAAGAAAAAGTCTCAAAGAACTCCCTGGACTGCTTGAGTATTGGAAAGAGCAATTGCTTGCGAACAGTACTAAGTATCAAGAAAAACCTTGCTTGTCAGATTCAGCGAGACTACCACCTAGCAAGAGGGCTGAGCTATTCCCCAATGTCAAAGCTCTCCTGATTGATGACTCACCCCATCCATCTCAAAGTACTAGGTGGGGGTGACCCTGTGACGAATGGCTCCGCACCCTGAGCATGAGCGTAGGCCGAGCCAAGCCAACTGGGACCCGCAGTGGGGTCGAGTCAGACTCGAAAGTCTAACAGGGTGAGGCCCTACAATGTGTCAAACATGTGGTCGACCCCAAAAGTGTCATGTTAAAATTAACCACCTCATCATCCACCCTGTTGTCGATATGCAAGAGAGTGAGGAGATCTTTTGCTGCAATTCACAATCGATCATCAGCGAGGGTAAAGAGAACAGTGTGAGGTGGCACTGAGCCTCGTATAATGTCGTCCAAAACCCGCAAGCTTTGAGGCGTAGTTGCTAAAACGAATCTTCCCCCACCTACTTTACGTACCGTGGCGCACACTGCACAACATCGAGCGACGCACACGTGGGGTAGTGAGAAACAAAGTTCTAAGGATTGTCCTTCATTGCACGACGCATTTCTAAGTACTTTTCATGCATGGTCTGACCCCTAGTCATAGCTCGTGGATATGTCCCCTTCTCCGGGGGCCGAAGGAAAAAACACTCGTCCATGGCTATGATATGCTCCTTTTTTCCGATCTCGGTATCAACCTCTGATGCCTTTAACATATCCTTGTTTTTTGTCATGAACCTTATGACTTTCTGCAATATGTGTGCCGGATATTTCGAGGACCTCTTTTTTCAATGTGACCCTACCCCTGTAAATTAGAAGAATGACAAAACGAAAAATGAATACACGTTTCCCAAAACATGTCCAACGAAAGCGACAATATAAAAGAATGACACATCCTACAAGACGCAGGACCTGTCCAATTACTGAACTTTGATTTTGCAATTCACTGAGCACCGAGTAGCGTGCATGCGTATGGACAACAAAAGGATGAGCGTATTTGAGCTTGACACCCCGCCCGTTGACAAAGGAAAACCACAAGAAGCTACAAATGCTAAAGGCTAGCAATTGTCGAAGTCCGGATTTCGGTGGACTTCAATCCACAGCAAGCACAGAGAGACCAACCGCAGTACACATCAACATAGGAAGTGCAGACACCGACGAGGAATGAACTGCGCCCAAATCCTTGATTCCTCGATTTGACAGACTCTGCGGTCACCCGTTATGCGTATGGCGTAGAATGAAGTGCTCCCAAATCCGGACTACGACGGATGCCTTACCACCACTTTAGGAATCGTGGGCGTGCAATACATAGTGGCTTTCTTCACCCCTTACCAGTCGGTTTGTCCCTCCGCTCCTACGTCGGTGACGTTGGATAGGACAAGGCTAGCACCACGAGAGTTGTAGTGCCGACCCTAGACTTTTTCGGGGACGTGACATGTTGCCATCCCCCGACTTCGCCTTCCCCTCCGCTCGCAAAGGCTGCGGGCACGGAAGGTGTGACGTTGCGAGGGTCGTCAACGTCAGGTGTCGTAGTCGGATGTGCGGACACATGCTGGCCGTTGAAGATGCTTTCGGTAACTTCACCGATGAATATATGGCGACTCGGTTTAGTCGGGCTCACAGCAACGAAAACCTCGTCGCACCCGTGTTGGAGATCGATTTCGGGCGTCAGCGGTTGAATGTCATAGTCATCTTATTCTGCTAAAAGGCTGCTGACCACATGCGACTCCATCTCCATTGTCATTGCATCGTCATTGATATATCCCCGTGATGCTCTTCGTACAGTTGCCCGAACTCGTCAGAAGACTCTCCAGAGGTGGCATCGTCCTCACTGTCCTCCCCTTTGTTGTTTTTAATATCCACTTTTCCGTTGTCTCCCTCTTTTCCTTCAAGCAATTTAATCATCTCCTTTTCTCCCCCTTCCTCTCCTTCATCTCCTTCCTCCCCTTTTCCCCCTTCCTCCCCTTCCTCCCCTTCCTCCCCTTCCTCCCCTTCCTTCCCTCCGTCCCTACTTCCCCTTCCTCGGATCCCGGCGGACTTCATCGTCTCCATGTCGTCGGGCGCTCCACTTGCACCCTCTCGCCTCAACCCTAGTGGTCGTCGCTCCCCCACTGGCGACGCATTTCGCTCCCACACAACACCACTGTCAAATGTGGCATCTTGGCTCGGCACCCCCACCCCCGTCCCGCTCTGCACGGCCGACTCCTGTCACGGCACCTCAGGCCATGTAGTTCAGATCTCGGTGGACTAGGACTCTCTGCCTGAGAGGGTACCAAGAGCAACTAAGGCTGCCATCATCTCACTCGCTGAGCTGGCGGACGAAGTCGGGAGGTCGGCGGACTTCATCGCATGCTCTGGACCAGGACCATTAGACGGATGTTGATCGACGACCACCTCCTCCACCCCACCGCTGCCTTTCGTTGTCGTGGTGTCGTCGCGAGACCCGCCCTCTCAACTAGGCAGGATTGCTTTGCCACCCCCCTCATTGTCGCCCCCGTCCCCTCCAGTGCCTGGTGGCCCCTCCCCCCAAACGTCCGAGTGCCCCACTAGAAGGGGGCACTTTCCAGTCCACTATGCCCTTTGAAGGGCTCGTGTCGAGATCTTAGTAGTCCTCCGCCAGTTCCAACCAGCGCTTGTCCTGAAGTACGTAGAACAGGTGGTCAACAATGGAAATGATGGATGCCTCGTTGGGTGCAAGTGAGTCATTTTCGAGCCTCACTTGTTGGAGGACCAAAATCCTCGCGACGTGCAGAAAGTTGGACTTCAACTCGCGAGGGATGGACACCTATCCCATGCCTAGGCCAGCGGCGACCATTATCCACTCGCCCTTTTGGGTCGCCGACTGGATGACTCCTGCATGCCAAATCATGTAATGGCCCCAGTCCAGCTCAGTCGAATGACTTTGCGGCTCACCAAGGAAGTGAATATTGTCATCCTTCCAAAACGGATGATCGGGCGGGACGTCAAACCCAAGATGCAATACAGGCGGGGGGACGGCTAGAGTTCTTAACCTCTTTAAAAAATTCATCAGGGTCGTACCTGGGGCCGGTTTGGCCATCGATGACCCCAGGGATGCTAGGCTTGTTGATGGACCGGTCGACAAGGACCCTAGGGCATGCTTCGTCGGAGGTGGCTCATACCGTAGGTCAATGCTCTCGGTGTCGCTCTCCTTCTCCTTCCCGTTGGTGTTGAACTCGGTACCGGTGGCCACCTCGTCGTCCGTGGAGATTAAGCTGCCGTAACTGCCGACCTTCAATTCCTCCTCAGACTCGACGAAGTACAAGGACTCTAGCCTGCCGAGGAAGGTCTTCACGTTCTTGCGGGACGTGAAGTGGTAGTTGTCCAACAACGCGTACATGTGGTCCTTGGGGCACATGTACTCGGCATCAGTGTCCTTCGTCGACCTCATTTCGAGGAACAAGAAGTCGTATATCTTGGTTCTCTTCCTCTCACTCGATTTGAACGACATGTCTGTCTTATTGCCCCACATGCGATTCCGTTTCGCCTTGTTGACCACAAACTCGTAATTGTCGGCCCCCCGAGTTGACCCCGCTTTTGACGAATTGCAACGTGAATTGCAACAACTCGGAGTTACCTTCCAGCACGATGACATGGCGGTCTGCCTTCAAAAGTTCCCACACGCTTCGCACGTGTGGCTTCCCAAGGAAAACGACACCCTCTCCCTTTTTGCTGATGAATTCAAGAAGACCAACCAATTGGGTCGGATTGCGCTCCATGTCCTTGTAGACACTGCCCTGTCCTTCAGGCGCGATCAGCGACCAGTCGCAAGGCATGAAGGGAATCTCTGACACATCCGTCTAGGTAACTCTCGGAGGCAACCGCACCGCCGTAGCGACACCTATCGGCAGCCTTCCCTCACGAACGACCGACATGTTTTCACTTAAATCGTCACCCTTGAAGAGGATGTACATGCGTCACCACGAACGAACGTGTGGCTCTTTCTGGTAGCCACCGCCCCCTTTAACTCGGCGCTCCTCGTCTCCGCCTCCAAAGGATCGTTGTGGAACGGTGCAATGGATGTCACGCTCCCCATGTCTTTCCATAGTATGTTCACAATGCCTTCGGCAAGTGCGATCTCCCTACTCTTCGGTCTACAACCAGTCAACACGGAGTGAACCTTGTTCTTCCAGTCAAGGGATAACTTCTTGTGGCCGACCAACGTTTTCGTGGCCTCAATCGTTCGGTCGTCATCGCAGTCCATGTACGGCGGACAATCCTTGAACACTCTGGAGTCATAAACATTTATTTTGCTGTCATCCCGCGAATCATCGTCCAACGCAAGCTTGTCGAACTCTTTGAAGATTGCAGACTTTTCTTTTAGGAAAGGGTACGTCTTGATCCAATCTGAATCTGTCATCTTCTCATGGTTGAATTGGTAGTAATTCCATAACCGCACCAGCATGCAGTCGCACTTCACTAACTGCACCATTTCATGCACGCTGAGCTTCCCTAGCTTTGCCAACGAACTGGAGCCGGCATAAACCCAAACCAACTCGCAAGCGAGGATCTTCTTCAGGTCACGACACTTCTTATTATCGTTGAGGGATTCCATCGTTTTCCAACAATGTGTGCCCGACTCAGTAACTTGCACGAACCAATCGCCCTCCTCTTTCTCCTTTTTTCCTTTGTTTGTTAGTGGCTCGACAAGGACGTTGTAAACGACCCCCTTTCTGCCCAACTTATCGTTGTCGATGTAGGCGACCCCGACTTGACGTTTCTGACCTTCTTCTTCTTCACGATCCACTTCGCTTCATCGTGGGCCAGCAGTCTCTCTGTCTCCCATTTCTTGAAAAATTCCATATAAAGTTTCAAGACCTTGTCTCCCGCCATCGCCAGCGGGAAAAAGGAACGCAGAGCAGTGTTCTGTTTCTTGGCGACGCCTGCCCCAGTTTGATCTGCTAGAGTCCATAAGTTGTTGTAAGGCGTCTTGTGGAGCGCCACTGTACAAAACTCACACAATTTTTGGACTTGAGTCAGTTTCCTGCTGGGGTTCCCCATAACAGCTCTAGGGCATTTGTCGTGATACCACTGTGAGCGAATGTCCTTCATCGATAGTCTTAACTGTCTCGGAGGCGCCTTGAGATCCTCCTCATTGTCCTACGAACTGACAAGGAAGTACCCTTCAAAGTCGGCGTCCGAAAAGTAAACCATATGGTCGGCCACCGCTCGAAGTTGTACTTTTTCGCTATAGTAGTATTGGCCTGCCAGATCGTGCTTCCAGTCCTCCGGCTTCATACGTTCGACCTTGTCCCCGGGAATCGGTTTTTGCAGCCCCAGTGGCGCCAGCTTCAGGGTAGGCATCTCGTACATCTGCTCGCTATTCGTGTACGCTAACTGCATCCCCTCCTTGATGCCTTCTACGAGGACGGGATCCATGGACCGCTGGTTGTACAAATTCTTCCAGTCGCCGAGGTCAAAGATCTGCGATGGGCTATTCTCGGACTCCCGCTTTGCCCTAACACTTTCTTTGTACTCCAGGAAGTACCCAGCGTCGACGTTGATGGGAGTCCGTTCCGTGGAAGGGCCCGACGCGGCGACGCAGGCTGCTTCGTTTTCGAAGTCGGTCGTTTTTGACCCTGGCGGTCCAGAACCCAGCCGGTTTCCTTCCGTTTCTTCCCTACAATTCCGGGGGCTGCGGTCTTCGGTTTCTTCGAAGAGTCGACCATCTCGTCTTGATGATATCCCATTCTCTTTTGTTGAGTTTCATGCGCTCCCTCCTTGCCCGCTGATTCCTCCTACGTGTCGTGGCCCTCGCTAGTGTCCACACTGACCTTTGAACCGACTGCCACATGGCCTGCACCCAGCGCTAACTACTCTCGAACCAGAGCAACTCGTTGGACCCTAGGAATAGATAGCACAAACCGGTCTCTTCGCGTTGATGGCAAAGTCGTCGTCTACACCGACGTGTTATCATCATTGTCGTCAAAGCGACCACGACTCTCGCCCCGTTGCAGCTGAGAAGCCGAACCAGATCCCCAAGTCACCCCCTTCCATTGGAGCCCTGTTGAATTTGCAACCGCAATACAGTTGCAAGGGCAGCGATAACTGTTGACGGGGGCCAACATCGCAGGGGACGTCGAGGTCGACGCTATGTTTCTCCAACAAGTAAAAAAACTTCCGAGCCAAAACAAAACCGCCTTCATGGGCAAGCTCGCGGTAGAATAGGCTGTTAGCAGTACCCGCTTCAAAACCCTCAAACAAATCCATTCTCAGCATTGCTCCCTTCGAATTGGCAATTGACGTTGCCCTTAGTACCGTAAACAATTTTCATATAGAATTGTCGACGTTCCCCCTTCGCGTCCTCCCACCACACGATGACCTCAAGCACTCTGTGTCGCTTCTTGTCTTCGATGAAGATGACAAGACCACATGGTTGCGCAATGGGGTTGGAAGCATCCCCTCAGCACCAATCGACGAACCATTTGGTCTGCGTGTGGTTCGACCATGATTTCGTGGTCGTAGACGACCGTCCTATGAAATCTTTCCCTTACCCCCTCCCGGAGGTCTCGTCAGGCTGCTCCTCACCCCTTGAACAAGACATCGTTTCTGCAAAGGACAACACTAATGAAGCAACCCACCACACGGTCAGGATCAGGTAAATCTCAACAGCAACAGTTCCCTCGCCGACAAACCATAACGCAGGCCCTGCCAAGACGTCACAACCGTGGCAGTGAATCGAGAACCGCACACGACACTATCATTTTATCATTGTCAGAGCAAAACATGCGCACCATGTTTGTGTGGTCCGGATCACAGGGAACTTTGCACACGAAGGCCCTTTAACACCCTACTGCGAACAATCCTCGCCCAGGGCGCACCCCTCATCCAACGACTCCTTGTGGGGGCGACAGGGCTATAATCTTTGCAGAACACGGGAGGGAACTCCAAGTCCCCGGGTTTTCGGAACTAACTTGGAGTTGTCTCCCGTGTTCTGCGACGAAGGAATGGGTCTCGACATCGACAATGAACCACATGACCTTGCCCGCATTGTTCGAAGTTCGGATCCTGGCGAACTTCGATTGTCGAGGGAACGGATCTCCGTGACATGCGGCTCACTGTAGGTACCAACAACACTCCCATCTTTCTCAAAACCAAAAACTACTCCGAAACCCCAATCATCCTTTTCCGGTCTCTAGCACTCGACCTTCTTCTTCACCAATATGCGAAGTTGGGCAGAAGACTTGGCCACCATTCGAAGTTCTGACGCCACTACGTGAAGTTTGGATGCCGGCAAACTTCTATTATTCTACCATCCAATGAGGTAACAGGAAGGCCCCAGTGACAGCGGAGTGTGGGTGATAACACGAAGTTCGCTCACGTCTGAACTTCAAGTGCTAAAGTATGTTTGCTCGGAAAATCGCCAAGTCCGCTGACATTCAAACTTCTTTTGTTATCCTCCTTCGTCAATATGTGAAGTGCGGCAGCGGATTTAGCCACTATTTCAAGTTTGGCTGCCGCCTAGTAGGTGCAGTCCCCCGTTTGGACAATACGTGAAGTTCGGATGCTGGCGAACTTGCAATGTTCTCCCATTCCACACGGCACCAAAAAAAACCCAGACACAGTGGAGGATAGGTGAAAACACGAAGTCCGCTGGCATCCAAACTTCAAATATTGGCGAGAAAGGACAACTGTTGTAGTATGTTTGCCCGGAATACCGCCAAGTCCACCGGCATCCGAACTTCTTCTGTTGTCCTTGTTCGCGATATGTTAAGTTCAACAGCAGATTTGGCCAACGTTTGAAGTTCGGATGTTGACGAATCCATTCAGTGAACTTACGATGTTCTCCTATTCCCCGCGGCACCAGAAAGACCTCAGCCACAACGGAGGACAGGTGAAAACACGAAGTTTGTTGGCATCCGAACTTCATATGTTAGCGAGAATGGACAACTGCTGAAGTATGTTTGCAAGTCCACAGGGATGCGAACTTCTTTTGTTGTCCTCCTTTGCCAATATGTGAAGTTTGGCAGCTGATTTGGCCACTGTTTGAAGTTCGGATGCGGCCGAGCTTCTTTGGTCCCCCCGTTTGGACAATACATGAAGTTTGGATGCCCGCAAACTTGTGCAACTCTCCCATTCCACGCGCAACTGGAAGACCCTCGTCATAGCGGAGGATAGGTGAAAATAGGAAGTTTACAGACATCCGAACTTCAAATATTAGTGAGAAAGAAGAACTGCTGAAGTGTGTTTGCCAGGAATATCGCCAAGTCAGCCGATATCCGAACTTCTTTTGTTGTCCTTCTTCATGATATGTGAAGTTCGACAGCAGATCTGTCCAACGTCTGAAGTTCGGATGCCGACAAACTCATTATTTCCCCCCGTTTGGACAATTCGTGAAGTTCAGATGTCGACGAACTTGTACTCTTTTCCCTTTCCACGCAGCACCAGGAAGACCCCAGTCACATCGGAGGATAGGTGAAAACACAAAGCTAGCTGGCGTCCGAACTTCGAATATTGGCGAAAATGGATAATTGCTGAAGTGTTTTTGTCCGGAATATCACCAGGGGGGGGGGAGAGAGAGAGAGAGAGAGAGAGAGAGAGAGAGAGAGAGAGAGAGAGAGAGAGAGAGAGAGAGAGAGAGAGAGATGTATATATATGTATATATATACAGAGAGAGAAAGAGAGAACCCGATGAATTGTGACAGCCCTGGGTTCGTTGATCAACAAGGTTCGTCGTGGGCCGATGGCCAATGTTGACCATCGGTCTGTCACAAAATGACTTCCACATAGATGATCCTGTGAGAAATTGCTTGACCCCTCCTATCATTCCTCTCTTCGCTACGCGCGGGCACACGAACACATGAACACAAACGGCCTCTGTGATGAACGACTGTTAGAGTTTACGTCAATAAGTCCATTCACTCAGTTTAGGCGACAGGTCTTTGCCAGCATCCATTACTCGATCAATCAACGGATAGCTCGACGATCAAACAACTGATCAAACAACTGATCAATCAACAGATCGGTCAATCAAACAGTCGATCAAACAATCGATTGAACAGTCGATCAATCAACATATCGGTCAATCAAGCAGTCGATCAAACAGTCGATTAATCAACAGATGGCCAGAGATAGGGCGATCAAACAGTCGATCAATCAACAGAGGGCGATCAAATAATCGATCAATCAACAGTCGATCAATCAACAGATCGATCAATCAAATAGCCGATTAAATAGTCGATCAAACAGTCGGTCAATCGACAGATGGGCGATCCATTGATTGATCGATCACTTGTTTCCAGCAGCAATTTGTCGATCAATTCGACTTGAGGATCAAACATTTGGTTCAATAGTATCTACAGACGTGCGCATGTTTTTGCAGACACGCGCACGCGCACAAACACACATACACAAACACGAACACGTACATGAACAAACACTCTCGCACACGTCTGCCAACATGAGTGACAATCAATCAGTCGATAAATCAACAGATCGGGAATTATCTGTTTATCAAT